GGTGGCTGAGCCTGTGACCCCCCTCCCTGAGCTGCTGGGAGGGTTTTCTCTCTGCTGTGCTCTCCAGCTGGAGTTTCACAGGACAGATCCCTACAGAGATCACTCCCCAGCCTCCATCCCCTCCTTGACTGAGAGCACCAGCCACCTCCTGCTGACACTGCAGAAGGCAACTCACTTCTCTCCCCTCTCCTTCACATCTGCTGCTCCCAAATCCGAGTTCATGTCTCCTGAATCATGTCTCATGATTGGTTTTTTCCCCCCCCCCTTTTAAAAACCTGGATATTTTTGTTTGAAACCTAATGAAATAATATCCTGTCCTGAGTGAGTCTGAGTTCACTGATTTCCCAAGACAAGGTAGAAGCATTGGCCATGCTCCAACCTCCTGAAAAAGTGTTTTTGTGAGCTGTTGAGGGAAAGGAGAACTGGCTGGACAGGAGGAGCACAGCCTGGCCCTGGCAGGTAATCCATCTGGGATCAGCTTGAAAGGAGCCCAGCTGCCTGGTGCAGTGTCAGAGCAGGTGAAACCATTCCCCCCATCACCTGCCCCTGGGAGCCCCCCTCAGCATTAGAAATATTGTCATCTGGGGAAAGGTCTGTGGTTATTGTCATGAATGCCTTTTTCCCTTCCCTCTCCCCTGGTCTCTGGGGAGGGGGACAAGAGGGGGTCCCCTGGCATCCCTGAGGCTGGAGCTGGGGAGCACGTGGGAATCCTGCCCCTCCAGCTGCTTGGGGCTGGGGTGAGGAGCAAGGGGGGGGAGTCTCCAAGCCTTTGATGCAAGCTGGGATTTGAGGAAGCTGCCTGGACCATACGTCTGGCCCAGGAGGGAGGGGATGGACAAGTGTTGCCTCCTGGGTCTGGGGTTTGTGCTGCAGGGAGGGCAGGAGGGTGGCTGCTACTTGGAGGTAGATGTTGTTTGTGTCCTGGGCATCTCCCAAAACGTGGGGAAACCTGGCTTGGAAGTGTGTGGGGAGTAGGCTCCACTGTGAGCCTTTAGGACTTTTATGCTGGCTTGGAAACATGCTGGGGTAGCTGTGGCTAGGAGGTGGGGTTTGGGTGGGTTTTTCCTTCTTTGGGGTCATCTGGTCTTCAAAAAATCAGAGGCACGTGAGAGATTTGGCTGCTAGGAGCAGCCAGGAGAAAACCTGCTGGCCATGAGTGCTGGAGGTCCTCCTCAGCTGGGGGTTCAGCTCAGGGTGGGATGTCCCCCCTGGGGCAAACTGCAGTGTCCAAAGAGCTGGGCTTAGTCCAGCGTGGGCTAAGTGTGATGGAAACCATTTCTGGTGTCCCAGGGCTGCTGGGGCACCCCTGGGGGAGCTGAATTTCAGCAGACTTCAGAAGTGGGGGCTCTGTCCTCAGTTGTTAATGAGGCTGGCAGCTCCTCCACGCCCTCAGATTAAGCCTTGTCCTGTGACTTGCACACACATAGTGCTAAACAACAAAAAAAGCTTAATTAGAGGACGGGTTCATTGCTGTGTCTTTCCAAGCAACAGGAAAAAGATTTGGAAGCCAGAAAAAAAGGATTTAGGTGGTTTTTTTAACATTTTTCTCCCTCCTCCCCTTCTCCTTTCAGCAATCTCCCTTTTACCAGCTCCTCCATGCAGGCTGGCCGGTGAGTATTGCTGGCAAACAGCTTTCTGGGGTTTGTTTTTGCCTCAGCTTGGCCAGTTGGGTTTTCCCCTCTCTCAGCACTTCATCAGTGAGATTTGTTTTCCCAACGTTTCTCTTTTGAATCCAGAGAAAACCCGGAGCCCCCGGGCCCCCAGGACATCCAGGGAAGACAGGAGCACCTGTAAGTCAGAAGAAGCCCCAGTGTCCCCTCCATGGCTTCTGGACCCTGCTGCCACCCCAGCCTGGGCAGCTCCCTAACCCCCATCACCCAGTCCTGGGCTGCCCCAAAAAGTATCAACTCCCTGCTGGCTGCTGGAGTGCTGTCACTAAGGACCTTGGCTCTGGTTTCATGCAAGCTGAAGGGTTTGCTTGTCTGCATCTCCCCAAAACTCATCTGATGGTTGATCCCCAGCTCCCTGGGGTCTGCTGGTAGATGCAGCCCCTGCCCCTCTGTCTCTGCCAGCTGAACAGTGCTGGCTGCTCTGCCCCTGGGTGTCATCTGGACCCCTCCCAGAGCACAAAACCGAGCCAGGGAAGAGCTGGTGCAGCACTGGGGTGGGGGCAGCCCCACGCTGGGGGCTGCAGCCCCTGGGATTCCTGGCTGGGCTCTGTGACCAGGGCAGCCTCACGTGGCACAACTCCCCATCCTGACCTCCCACGGGGTGCTGAGGCCACGAGGAACCGGTTCTGTCCCCTGCCACCACCTCCAGACCTGCCCTGGCACGGAGCCCAGGCAGGGCAGCGGGTGTGCCAGGGGCAGGGCTGCTCCTGCTCTGCCCTTCTCCTCCTGCTCTGCCCTTCTCCTGCTCTGCCCTTCTCCTGCTCTGCCCTTCTCCTGCTCTGCCCTTCTCCTGCTCTGCCCTTCTCCTGCTCTGCCCTTCTCCTGCTCTGCCCTTCTCCTGCTCTGCCCTTCTCCTGCTCTGCCCTTCTCCTGCTCTGCCCTTCTCCTGCTCTGCCCTTCTCCTGCTCTGCCCTTCTCCTGCTCTGCCCTTCTCCTGCTCTGCCCTTCTCCTGCTCTGCCCTTCTCCTGCTCTGCCCTTCTCCTGCTCTGCCCTTCTCCTGCTCTGCCCTTCTCCTGCTCTGCCCTTCTCCTGCTCTGCCCTTCTCCTGCTCTGCCCTTCTCCTGCTCTGCCCTTCTCCTGCTCTGCCCTTCTCCTGCTCTGCCCTTCTCCTGCTCTGCCCTTCTCCTGCTCTGCCCTTCTCCTGCTCTGCCCTTCTCCTGCTCTGCCCTTCTCCTCGTGCTCTGCCCTTCTCCCCCTGCTCTGCCCTTCTCCTGCTCTGTCCTTCTCCTCCCCGTGGCAGCTTTGCCAGGGCTCGGGCTGCTCCCAGCACACTGTGGGGGGGATGAGGGGGGTGCACTTGTTGACTCGATCCCTGTTTGCCTGCAGGGACCCTGTGGAGATCCCGGGGAGCCGGGCGAGAAGGGCCGGCGGGGGTACACGGTGAGTGAGGGGCTGCTCTGCAGGCTTGGCTGTGGGGAAAGCCCAGTTTGGGGAGGCTGAGTGTGCCCTCGGGGCTGTCCTGGGGACCCTCAGGGACACTGCCCCTCTTGGGTCAAACCCTGGAGTGCTGGTGAGGGAGATCTGTAACTGTCAGGTCTGGGAGCTGTGCAAGGAGCTGTGTGCCTGGTTTGTAGGGTCATGGGATGTGATGCCCAGTCCTCTCTCTGGGGACCTTGCTGTGGTGGCTCTCCAGAGCAGGCTCTTGCCCCTGACCTGACCCACCCTGCAGCTCCCCTGGCCTTGTGCCTGCAGCACCCCACTCCTGTGGGGGTGTGGGCTCAGTCCCTTTGCCTGCTGGACCCTGCTGGTGTCACCCCAGGCCCTCCCAGGCAGCTGGCCACAGGCTGGCATGGTTGTCCCAGAAACCTTCTGTCACCTTCTGGAAAGCTCCCACCTCCCTCCCCACGGCTGGGCTGAAGGGATTGTGAGCTCTGCCCGTGCTCTGTGGTGGGAGGTGCTGCACAGTGTGGCCTCGTGGGACCTGACCACCTCCTGGGGCTTGGAAGGGTGGAAGGAGAGGAGAGGAGAGCAGATGTCCCTGTCTCCCAGCATCCCTGGAGCCTTCCACCCATGCTCGCTGGTACCCAGCCCTCCTGGGAAGAGCTGGTGCATCCCAAACCTTGCATGGGATCCCTGTGCAGCAGCCCCAGCACCCTCCTGCCTCTTGCTCATTTGTCCTGGTTGCTGCTGGGCTGCTCCAAGGAGGCAGCAGTGCCCATCTCTGCTGCTCCTCACCTCCCTGCTCACCTATCTAGGGAGCAATCCTCTCCCTCCAGCCCTCCAGTGTTTCCAGTCTTGCACAGCATCTCCCCAGCGACCTTAACCCCAGCACTGTGGTCCCCTGGGCTCCCTCTCAGCATTGATCTTCCTTTCCTCCTGCCACCTCCTTGGCCATCGTGTCTTACTCTCCAAAACCAGGCTGGCTTTTTCCTCTGCCTTGAGGGGAGGAGCCCAGGCCAGGCTGGGCTTACCTGGGTCCATGCTGTCTGCCGGTTTGGGCAGGCTGGCAGGCAGGACACGCTGGCACTGGAGTGCAAACCCTGGAGGCTGCTCCAAGAGGTGCCAGATCAGCAGGATCTGTGTGGGGAGGCAGCACTGGGGGGTTAGTGCAGCAGTGGAAAGGAGCAGACTTCTTCCACCCATCCTGGTCCATCTGCAAGCCTGATCTCTTCAGTTTTGGGGGGTCTGTGTCACAGCCCCAGCCCTGCCCCCGGGCCCCTGCTCTGGTTTGGGCATCTTCTAAGGGTTTGTGGGCAGGTTTCCAACAGGGAAACTCAACCTGACTTTGAACTCAGCTCGTGACCAGTCTGGAGTGGTTCCTGGTCATGCTTCTGCTTCACCTTGGCCCGAGAGGTCTTTGATGCCCATAGGCAGGTCCCTGCTCCCTGTGCCTGGGGGAGGCTGATCTGGGGACAGCAGGGGTGAGGAAGAGGAGGAGGGATTTCATCCACCCACATCAGTCCCTCAGGGTTGGGCTGGGTTTGCCCAGGGGCTGTTTTGCTTCTGGCCTCAGAGCCCAGCCAGACGTGCAGCACAGCCCAGGGCTCTGGCTTGGCACAACTGCAAAGAGCCACAAACAATCCCCAAAGCTGGGACTGGAAATGGAATGGGGCAAAAATGCTGGGTTTGGGGCTGGCTGCCCCACACATGCGTGGTCAGGCATGGCAATGGAGGATGTGTGGGGCTGGCTGGGTGCTGCTGGAGCCCTCAGGAGAGGGAGATGGAAAAACAAACCTCCCCAAACCAAGCTTTTTATATCCATGCAGCCAGATCCTTCACTTGAGAAGTAACTGAGGCTGCTGCATCTTTCTGCCCGTCCTTCAGACTCTCACCTTACAAACTAAAACAGTTCCAGGGCTTGGGCTTGACCAAATGTTCCAAAATTTTTGAGAAATCCAAACAATCAAAGTAAATTGAAGGGAAGTGTCTTTGTCTTTGCTCCAGACTGCCCCTTAACCTGCCTTACCTCAGAAGTGCCAGTGAGCTAAGGGGTTAAAACCCTGCCCCTGAGCTTTAGCTGGTGATGTCCAATCCAGAAGACCTGCTCAGGCTCTTGAGTCCAGGAAAGCATCAGAAATAGAAGCCCCATCCCTGGGACCATTCCAGGTCATGCTGGATGGAGCTCTGAGCAACCTGCTCTGGTTGCAGATGTCCCTGCTCCCTGCAGGGGGTTGGATAAGATGAGCTTGAAAGGTCCCTCCCCACCCAACCCCTCCTTTGACTCTACGAAACGACTTTGAGGGCAAGTCCCAGAGCCAGGGAGCAGATGTGGAGGGCTTTTCACTTGACCTGCTCCTAACACATTGCTTCCTCCCTGCCTTTCACTTTGCTTCTTGCTCTCCCATGGGTTGGGTTGGGAGCTTGGGCAGATCCAGGTGCCCCTGGGTGCAGGAAGCTCCTCCCCCTGCCCACCCTCCCCACCACCCTGGGAGCTACCTGGGGTTGGTGTGGATGTTCTTGGTTTTCCACGCTGGGCTTTTTTGTCTCCCCAGGGTGATCCTGGGCTGCAGGGCCTGCCAGGACGGGCAGGTTACCCTGGCTCGGATGGCTTCCCTGGCCTGGATGGCAAACCTGGGCCCTGGGGGCTGCCAGGAGAGCAGGTGAGCCCTGGGCAGGTGAGGTGGGCAGGACCATGGCATGGCCAGTGTTGGGTGGGGAAGCTGCAGCCCCAAGCTCTGGCCAGGAGACATGGGCTCCTAGTGCTGCTGCTCTATTCCTAAACTATTCCTCCTAAGCCAACAAACCCAGGCAGTCCTGGATTAGTCACCTGAGGTTCATATTTCCCAAAAAAAAGCTGGGCTGTAGAAGATCACACGTGTGTTAAGATGCAGCTGGGACAACCCAAATGCTGCAGGTCCTGTGGTAGGTCTGGGCAGGAGGGCTGGAGTGCTCTTCTGCATCTGAACCTTGCCAAGATCCTTTTACAGGAGAAAATACCCAGGGGGCGGGCAGGGGAAGGAAGGGATGAGAGCAATTATGGGCTGCCTGGGTAGCCTTCAAGCTGTGAAGCTGCTCACTTGGGGGTGAGGTGGTCCCTGCCCTCTCCCAGAGCCCAGCAGCAGTCCCTGGGGGGAACATGGGTGACTTCCCTGGGCTTGGAACCTTCCTCGGGGGGCTTTTGGATGGTGGTGCCAGGGGCTGGCCCGTGCTGAGAAGTTCAGGGCTCTCAGCACCCCCCCGGGGGTCTGCGTGGGGGTAGCCGTGGGCGAGAGCTGCTGGCAGGGTGGGGCTGGGGCTGGCCAGGGGTGGGAGGTACTGGGCAGCCCCTCAGCCCCCTCTGCCCCTGCCTCCCTCTCCCCAGGGCCCGCAAGGCTTCCAGGGTGACCGGGGGCTGCCTGGTGAGAAGGGAGAAGAGGTGAGTTGGCTCTCGCTGCCACGGGCCCTGCTCAGTGCCAACCCCCACCCCGAGGTGATGCCAGGCACTGAGAGCTCTGTTACTGGTTTTACTGGTGCCACACCAGCGGTGCCTGGTACCCACAACCTCCCCTGCATGTGCCAGGCACCCCACATCCTGGGGTTGTCCCATGGCCACCCTCCCTTGCTGCTGTGCCCACCCAGCCTCTGGCCGTGCCCGTGGCCTCCAGGGCACAGGTGCTGGGCACAGCCCTGCCATCCTCTGATGCCACCCTTTGTCATCTGAGGGGGAACCCTCTGCTGGGAGACCTGCAGGAGAGATTGGGCTTGGGCAGCACGGAGAGGAGAAGGCTCCAGGGAGACCTGCTGGGGGCCTTTCAGTGCTTAAAGGAGGCTACAGGAAAGATGGGGAGAAATATTTTAGCAGGACCTGGTGGAACAGGACAGGGGGGGTGGTTTGGAGCTAAAAGAGGGAGATTTAGACTGGAGAGAAGGAAGAAATTTTTATGCTGGGGGTGATGAGATCCTGGCCCACAGAGAGGTGGTTGATGCCCCATCCCTGGAACCATCCCAGGGGAGGTTGGCCGGGGCTCTGAGCACCCTGCTCTAGCTGCAGATGTCCCTGTACCTGCAGGGGGTTGGACTAGGTGACCCTGGAAGGTCCCTTCCCACCCAAACCAGTCTGTGACTCTCTGATTTACCCCCAGCTTGGGGGTCTCTCTGCCCTGCACCACTCTGACAGTCCCTTGGGGCACAGCAGCCGTGTTTCACCCCCTGCCAGCCCAGCTGGGGCACTCACATCCTTGCTTCTCCCATTTCAGGGTTTCTTGGGTGACCCTGGACCTGCTGGGGAGAAAGGAGAGAAGGGAGTGAAGGTGAGGGTGTCTGGCCTGCCTGGGGTGGGCAGGAGGCTGCTCCTTCCCTGCCAGGGCCCCCAGGTCATGTTCTCCTCCAGCACTCAGGCTGCTCTTGGCTTTTCCAGGGGGTGAAGGGAGCCAGTGGCCTGCCAGGTCCTGCTGGGCTTCACGTGAGTTAACAGGGGGGGTCTCACCCTGTGCCAGGATTGCCCCTTCCCCCCATACCCTTTCCTGGGCTGACCCCTTTGCTTCTCTGCAATGGCCCCAACCTCCATCCCTGGCTCCATCCCACGTTCTCCTGGCTTTGGGCAAAGCTCTCGTGGTCTTTCCCTGCTCCTCCTGCAAGGGATGGGACAAAGGCAGCTGCCCCCTCCGGGTGGACACCTTGCTCTTGGTGACACCCTGCTTCTCTCCCAGGGGATGTCTGGCCTGAAGGGTGTGATGGGCTTCCAAGGCCCCGTGGGGCTGGAGGTGAGTGGTTCTGCTTCCTCTGTGTCACCAGCCCTCCCCGAGGAGCTGCAGGAGTTTGGTGCTGCCCATGGGTCTGAGCAGGGATGGCGTGGGCTCTGCAGGTCACTGGCACCTCTCTGTGGTTCACTCGTACAAAATCCTTCTCTAGTTTGCTTTTTCCTGAGAGCTGGACCTAAACTATGCAGCTCTGTCCTGGAGGTGGCTCTTATTGCCCCAGAGCAACCAGAAATGTTGCCCCTCTGCATGCTGGGGGCAGGAGCCTCCCCCCACCTCCAACATCTCCCACATGGATGTTTGTGTCTCAGCCCGTTAGGAAGAGTCAGGACCCTTTGCAGAAGACATGGCACCATGGTTTATTTTAGGTGGCCACCTTCAGGCAGGCTGAATCCCAGGCTGACAGCCCCAGGGTTCTTCTGTGCTGCTCTCAGCACACTGCTGGGCTCAGGTGCTGCCGTGTCCCCAGCCAGGGAAGGGTCTGCAGAGGATTTAAAGGAAAATGGAAGGGGTTTGGTGTTGGTGGTGAATGGAGGCACCTTCAAACACAAAGGGAGTTGAGGAGCCAGGGGCTGGTGGCTCAAAGGGGCATCAAGAAGCTGATGCTTGATGCAAAGAAAAGGGGGAATTTGGGATGGGAAGAGTAAGAGGAGAGAAGGAAAGCAAAGCAGGCTAGAAACACATCATCCTTTCTCCTGCTGCAGGGAGAAGGTGGCTCAGTGGGTCCCCCAGGCCCTGCTGGCCCCACGGTAAGTGGCGACTCCTCGGTTGAAAGCACTGCTGAGAGCTGGTGGTGGCTCTCAGGGACCTGCTGCCATCCAGCTCCCAGCAGGAGCAGGGCAGGACCACCACGGGCAGGCTGGGCCATGCCCCCGTGTCCTGCCTGGCTGGGTCCCCTCTGCTGATTTGTGCCCAACCAGGCTGAGTCTGCTTAAAGTGCAGCCTCCTGATGGGAGGGGGAGAAATGACAGAAGGGGTTAAAGCTCTTGCACACCAGTGAGTGAGGGTGGTGAGCCCCTGGCCCAGGCTGCCCAGAGAGGTGGTTGATGCCCCATCCCTGGAACCATCCCAGGGGAGGTTGGCCGGGGCTCTGAGCCCCCCGCTCTAGCTGGGGATGTCCCTGTCCCTGCAGGGGGGTTGGACTGGATGGCCTTGGAAGATCCCTTCCCACCCAACCCATTCCATGTTTCAAAGCCCAATCAGCATCCCCACGAGCCCAGGGCTGCCTCAGCCCCCATGGGACATGCCACAGGGGTCCTGTCCCATCTCCTTGGGCATGGTGGAGGTGGCCATGGGGCTGAGCATGCTCTTGTGTTGCAGGGAGAGCCTGGCCAGCCAGGATCCATTGGATGCCAAGGTGTCAATGGCTCTCAGGTGGGTCTGCCCCATTCCCCTCTATTTTTTGGGATCTCCTGACCATGGTGCTCACCCCATCCCTTGCCTGCTCTCTCCCCAGGGAGAAATGGGTCCTCCTGGCTCGCCTGGCCCCCGGGGCCCCAAGGTACATGAGCACTCCCTGTGCCAAGGGATGAGCAGACCTCGCAGGGACGGGGTGTCCTGGGACAGCTGGGTGGGGGTGCTGGGGTGGGCGAGTGTCCCGAGGGCCACCTAGCCCAGAGAGGTCTCCTCCAGCTGGGCTATGCCCTCAACCCACCCCAAAATCTGCAAAGAGGCTGAGATGAGGGTGTGAATCCTTCCCGTGGCCCTTGCAGTGCTGGGGGGTCCCTCACCCCGGCCCACTGGGAGCCCTGGAGCTCCTCTGCAGCTGACAATTCCCCACGAGAGGTTTTGGGACCTCAGGCTTTGCCCGAGCTGTGCAGGGCTTTGGTTCCAACCACAGCTCCTCGTCCCCCGCTGCCTTGCAGGGACCACAGGGCTTGCAGGGCAGACGTGGTCCCCCCGGCCCCAGGGGCACCCAGGTAAGGGGCTGGGGCAAGACCTTGGGCCTGGAGGTCTCTATGGCCACCTGGGAGCAGGTGGGAGGGTGGGAAGGACCACGTCCCACAGTTGGGAAGGACCACATCCCATTGGTGGGAAGGACCATGTCCCATGGGTGGTTGGGAAGGACCACGTCCCATTGGTGGGGAAGGACCATGTCCCA